TAAGAGAAGAACAACTCTGAATTGAAAATCTGCGGGGGGTCGTTTGGGGACCTTGTGGCACTTAGTGCACCAGGTCTCTGTATTCGGCCCTTCAAAAAGTGTGGCTGGTCCTGCACTATAATCAAATTTCATGTGATGTTGTCGGGCTGTCGGTTTCCTGGGAACTGATCCACTTGACCCTCATACGTCGAATTCGACAGGAGAGCCGACTATATATATATATATATATATATATATATATATATATATATATATATATATATATTGATTTTCATTATTACTCCAACATATTTTAATTAATTTCTGAAATAATGGTCTTTAATAAACATCGAATTTTTTACTTGTTTCTGTTATTTGTTTATTTATTTATTAAACAGTATCCAAATGTACCCACAATTTAACTTTCGGAAAAGAAGTAACGATTTGTTTTTACAGTCATAGTATTGAAACATGAAAGCTTTTTTGTAGCGATTTAAAATGTTTTTATTATAATCTCTTATAATAATAATAATATGATAATAATTTTATTAAATAGTATAATTATTTATACCGAGAAGTCTTGTTCGAAGATTCTCGAAATTTCCGGCTCAGCTTAATTTCGTATGCTAACATAAACAAAAACAATTCAAGCAAAAATGTTTAGGAAAAGTTAATTAAATTTAATTACATATTATGAAATGGACAAAAACATTTACTATATTTATACGTTGTTTTTATAGATACAAATATTTAAGTAAATGCTTTGTTTATAATAGATAAGATTTACCGGTCTGAATGTGCGAGAAATTTTCATAGCAAATATGCGTCCTCCGACAGAAATCGATCATGTATCCTATACGGAAGCGTCATTTAGCCTGATGTGCCTTAACCGATTGGGCCACAGAGGAGCGTTCAGTTAGCAAGGTCGGTCATGGAGAAGCAGTAAAATCGACATTGGTAACCGAACGTTCCTCTGTGGCTCAATTGCTTAAGGCACGTCAGGTTATATGACGGTTCCGTATAGGATACAGATTCGATTGTTAATACTGTTTATTATAAACAAAGCATTTACTTAAATATTTGTATCTATAAAAAGAACGTATGTTATATTATTTATAGAGTTGAGTCATAGAATCTTTTTCTTTCAAACGTTTATTATATAAATTATGGAGTAAAATCTGTTAAAATATGTTTGAAACACTATAAGTGATACGGGAAAGGATTGACTGCCTGAAATGCGTACCTTAGCTCCTGGAAGAAAATCTAAGAGAGAAAACGTTAACTGCTGGTGATTCCAATAAATGAGTAAACAAAGAAAATAAAAAAAAAATAATATCGTGGCGGGTGAAGATTTCTGTTCAGTAACGGAATCATGAGCACCGGTTTATGGGAAATTGATGGAAAAATCGAATTATAGATTTATCGGATGCAAACTGAAATATTAAGAAACCAGACAAATATGAAATTAGTTGCAAAAAGTGGAGTTATGAACGAAATCGAATCAGATAGATTTGGGTAGACTGTGAAAGTTACAGAGAAGCGTACAGACTCACATAGAAAGGGTGAGAATGGCGTATACGATGTCTGTCTGAAAAGTAACGGGAACATATGTGCTGTGCGAGCTATGGCCATCGTCCGGAGGGAGATCTTGCCACAGTGCCAGACAAGCAATCTGCAACTTTGTAAAGAAATCCTGTAGCGTTTGCTTCCTCCAGTGCGCGAGAAGAGACATGATTCGTGGCAGGATAAATCGCCACAGCTTCGCTACAACAATAACGCCCTGATCATCCGGCAGATCCTGAACGAGAAGAACATCGCCGTACTGGATCAACTTTCTTATACACCCTATTTTGCTCCCTGTGACATTTTCTTTTCCCCATGCTCAAGGGGATACATTTGTGGAGGGGGCAATTGAGAGAGCCGTAACGACGGAGCTGAGGGTCGGCCAAGAAGAATCCTTCCAGCAGGGCAGAGAAGCATCGTAGAGAAGGATGGGAATGTGTATTATTCTCGATGGTGTTTAATTGAAGGGGACACCATAGAGTTTGGAATTGAAATAACGTGTTTGTGACACCAGCTTCTTTACTTTTCAGTTTCGTTCGAAACAAAGAAAAGACTACTGAAGTATTATCGGTTCTCTTATATGACAGTATACTGAACAATCTCGTCATAGATAAAGAAGAAATTTGAAGCAACATAAATCTGGTTCTATGGAACGATGCTGGACATGTGAGCAAGGACAAGGTTTTAGAGAAAATGGACACAAGAACGTCACTTATAGTTAACATCAGAAAGAGACACTTGACATTCTAAGGAAGCTAATGAGAAAAGAAGGCTTAGAAAATTTGAAACTGATAAGTCATATTGAAGGTAAGATGGACAGAGGGATACTACGCATAACCTACATAAGGGACTTGTGTAAATGCTTGACAGGGACTAGGTGAGAGGGAGAAATGATTTACAAATACATTGACATTGTGAAGAGCCTTGATTAACCAAGTCTTGTAGGGAGAATAAGAAGAAGAATAAAAAGAAAAAGAAGAGGAGAGGAAGAAGAAGATGGAGGAAGATGAGAAGAAGTAGTAGTAGAAGAAGAAAAAGAAGAAGGAGGAGGAGAAAAAGAAGTAGTAGAAGTAATAGTGGTAGAAGAAGTAGTAGTAGTAGAAGGAGCAGAGAAAATAATTAACACTAGAAAAAGAAGAAGAAAAAGAAAGATAAAAAGAAGTAGTAGTAATAGAAGAAGAAGAAGAAGAAGAAGAAGAAGAAGAAGAAGGGGGGTGCTGCTGCTTCTGGGGAAGAAAAGGAGGAGGTGGGGAAGAACAAGGGGGAGGAGGAGAAGAAGACAAAGGAGGAGGCGGGGAAGAAGATGAAGGTGCTGGTAGTGGTGGTGGGGGAAGAAAAAGGAGGAGGTGGGGAAGAAGAAGAAGGGGGAGGAGGAGAAGAAGACAAAGGAGGAGACGGGGATGAAGAAGAAGAAGAAGAAGGTGGTGGTGGTAGTGGTGGTGCTGGGGAAGAAAAGGAGGAGGTGGGGAAGAAGAAGGGGGGGAAGGAGAAGACAAAGGAGGAGGCGGGGAAGAAGAAGATGAAGAAGAAGAAGAAGAAGAAGAAGGTGGTGGTGGGCATGCTGGGGAAGAAAAGGATGAAGTGGGGAAGAAGAAAAAGAAGAGGAGAAGACAAAGGAGGAAAGGAGGAAGAAGAAGAAGAAGAAGAAGAAGAAGAAGAAGAAGGTGGTGGTGGTGCTGCTGTGGGAAGAAAACGCGGAGGTGGGGAAGAAGAAGGGGGAGAAGGAGAAGGCAAAGGAGGAGGCGGAGAAGAAGAAGGTGGTGGTGGTGGTGTTGTTGGTGGTGGTGGTGGTGGTGGGAAGAAAAGGAGGAGGTGGGGAAGAAGAAGGGGGGGAAGGAGAAGACAAAGGAGGAGGCGAGGAAGAAGAAGATGAAAAAGAAGAAGAAGAAGAAGAAGAAGAGGAAGAAGAAGGTGGTGGTGGTGGGGATGCTGGTGAAGAAAAGGAGGAGGTGGGGAAGAAGAAAGGGGAGGAGGAGAAGAAGACAAAGGAGGAGGTGGGCAAGAAGAAGAAGAAGGTGGTGGTGGTGGTGCTACTGCTGTGGAAGAAAACGACGAGGTGGGGAAGAAGAAGGGGGAGGAGGAGGAGAAGACAAAAGGAGGAGGCGGGGAAGAAGGAGAAGAAGGTGGTGGTGGTGGTGGTAGGGATGCTGGGGAAGAAAAGGAGGAAGTGGGGAAGAAGAAAGGGGAGGAGGAGAAAAAGACAAAGGAGGAGGCGTGGAAGAAGGAGAAGAAGAAGAAGAAGAAAAAGAAGGAGTAGGATGAGTTAGGGAAGAAAAATAAGAAGACGACGTCAGAGAAGAAGAAGAAGAAGAAGAAGAAGAAGAAGAAGGTCAATTTCTTCCTGTCGCATTTTCCCTCTTCTCTTAAATAGATATTATTTCTGGAAGCGATGGTCGTTGGCAAAAAAATAAAACTCGTTGTATGACAAATCTGATATAAAGAACACAATGATATGGCCTCGATTATGTTAATTAAGTGAGGCAATTCGTTTAGATATAGACATCACCTGACATAGATCCAAACCAGTAGGAACACCGAAAAAGGATTGTTTCACGAATAAACCAATATTTAACTAACTATTGTTGTGTTACAATTGTGAAATGGAGAAAGAAATTGTTGATTTTTACCTGTGTGAAATGTGTTGTTTGTATTTCAGAAGTGTTTTCTTCAAACATCAACGACAAGCGAATCCTAAAGAATGAATATTCCTGGAAGCAACAAGAAATTTCAACAATATTTTCCTTTGGGAGACAGCCGTGGTATTCGGTTTTAAACAGCAACATCAACAACAACACAGTGTGTAGTCTGGAGGCAAATGAATATGGAAGCCTTTGAGCGCAATAAACATACGCATTTTTTTTTTTTCAGTTTTTTTTTCAGTTTTGAATGAATCTGACGAAGGTCACGGGGCGATCTCAGAATCAAAAAAAAAAATGTATCCCTTGATTTCCGAATCGATGACATTATTTGATTTCGCCAAAACCTTCTTTCTGTTTTCTGCCTTAAGCAAAACATTGTCCTCATTTTGGTTTACCTTATCTCAATTTACGAATCAAATGAAATATTTCTCTGCTCTATCTTTAGTACGGTATAAGTGAATTCTTAGGATCTTTAATTAACCGTTTATTGATTTCGAAATTAGTCAGCTACACGAATTCGTTTCATCGACTTAAAAAAATAAGACGTAAGGAAAGTGTGTTCAACTAAAACTTGTTGAAATATACATTTGCAAACATTTTTTTGCTAGACACAGAAAATATAACTTTTAGAAGAGATTGTCACTGGCGAAAAAAAAAAAAAAAATATTTAGATGTAGAAAATGTGATTTTTTTTGAAAAGCGTGGCATAAAGTGGATACCATATAAACACTCCAGTTATGGCATCTCTGGAAAGGTCTACGCAGTTATCAGTTAATGACTCTCAGAAATGACCAGGTTTCCGAAATCCATGAGATAAATTCAGGAGTTTCCATAGATAGATAGATCGATAGGTATAAATAAACATAGATAGATAGATAGATAGATAGATAGATAGATAGATAGATAGATAGATAGGAACAAGCTGAAAGAAAGAATGAATGAATGAATGAATGAATGAATGAATGAATGAAAGGAACAAACTGATAGATAGATAGATAGATAGATAGATAGATAGATAAGAAAGAAAAGAAAAGAAAGAAAGAAAAAGAAATAGAAATAGAGATAGATAGATAGAATGATAGATGATAGATAGATAATAGATGAATGAAGCTGGAACAAGCTGAAAGAATGAATGAAAGGAACAAACTGATAGATAGATAGATAGATAGATAGATAGATAGATAGATAGATATTAATAAACGGAGACAGAAAGAAAGAAAGAATAAATGAAAGGAAATAAGCTGATAGATAGATAGATAGAAATAGACTGAGATAGATAGATAGATAGATAGATAGATAGATAGATAGATAGATAGATAGGAACAAGCTGAAAGAAAGAATGAATGAATGAATGAATGAATGAATAAAAGGAACAAACTGATAGATAGATAGATAGATAGATAGATAGATAGATAGAAAGAAAGAAAGAAAGAAAGACATAGACTGAGATAGATAGATAGATAAATAGATAGATAGATAGGAACAAGCTGAAAGAATGAATGAATGAATGAATGAAATGAATGAAAGGAACAAACTGATAGATAGATAGATAAATAGATAGATAGATAAGAACAAGCTCAAAGAAAGAAAGAAAGAAAGAAAGAAAGAAAGAAAGAAAGAAAGAAAGAATGTTATCAAATGTTTGGAAAAGAGAAAGCATGATGTCGGCATTTAGGAAGAAACAATCCGCCATCTTTGCAAAAACACAATAGCGTGATGATCTTGTTTTGGTAATTGTATATTCAACTCAATCGTCTTGCTTGAACACGTTTCAATCAAACATTTGTCTGCCTAGGTAAGCATTTGAAATTCAAATTTTTGTTCTGCTACTGTACAAAAAAAGAACGAAAAAATAATTGATTGATTTTACCATCAATTCCTTATCAAATTACAAATTGTTTTATCCTTTATTGGCCTCAATTATTTTAAATACGAAAAATCATGTTTACACAAAATATTCAAGTGCAAATTCCTGATCTGACAACTTTAATAGAATGACGAAATTATATTCGCAAAACGGTAAATAAGCAAGAAATTGCACAGTTTTTTCTTTTGTATTTAGCTCGGAATGTGTTCACTGTTTTTTAATAATTTGTACAGTAATCTGATATATTATCTTCCAATGGAGATCTGAAATTCTTCTTAGATTGTCCCGCACTTTCCTCAGTATTACACTGAATTTTCTCAAAATAAAAGACATCGTAAGATGAACGAATTCGTCCTATCCCGAATGTAATTTTTTACTAAGTTCCACCTAATACAAGGCCCCATGTTCACTCAAGTTAGATCGTAACGATGAATGATTTTTTTTTTATAGTGATGTTTATCCTGTACAAAGTCCAAGAGCCACTCGCGGTAGATTGTTACAGATCAAAAGGCGTAGTGTATGCGGATACGCGGGTCAGATAACGGTTAAACCGAGACTTGAAAAAGTTAAGGGTCTAGTGATCGGGAAGGCATTCTCTTGGGTGTCGGTTCTACTGGTCTACATATGTCATGCCGATTTTAGTGCGCTAGAACGTCGATCAATTATTAAATAGTAATTCTGACACTCCTCTACAAATAATGAATATGGTAACTGAGACGAAATGATCTATAAGGTCATTATAATATATGTGTAAAGAGTCGCTACCGACACTGGAGTTTGAATACAGATAACCAGGCGATCCCATTTTGTGAGTAAGTAGATCACGTGATGGCAAAGTTGTTAACCATGTTTGCCGTAGTCTCTGAATATAAAATCCAGTAATGTGTTCAATATCAGAGGTTGGCAGTGAAGATTCGGAGAAAGTAGCAGCTGTTAAGTAATTCTTTAGGTCTTCGATATCAGAGGTTGGCAGTGAAGATTCAGAGAAAGTAGCAGCTATTAAGTAATTCTTTAGGTCTTCGAATTCTTTCCCGGAAAAGTCTTCGATTCTATCAGAGGTTGGCAGTGAAGATATTTTTGGGATATCAGAGGTTGGCAAATCAAAATTCTTTGGCTTCGCAGAGGTTGGCAGTGAAGATTCGGAGAAAGTAGCAACTGTTAAGTAATTCTTTAAGTCTTCGATATCAAAGGTTGAATATTTTTTGGAGAGCTTTCTGATTGGAATATTTTGAACCTTTCTCTTAGTGGACTATAAAATGAGTCAGCTCATTTTGGCTGGCTCACTAGTACACAAAGTACCCAAAATTCTAACAAAATAAAATGTATATAATGATTCTCTAACCGCGGCTTAGAGATGGCACAAAACCGAAATTATGGGACACCCAGTGAGGATCGAACTCACTACTCAATCGTAAATGATCCGGCGAGATCACCTTGCTAACATGACACCAAGCCGAGTTGTCCAAAAGGAAATGTATATATTGGAATTAGCGTGACGTCTAATTGATCATTATATCTATTCTATCCTCTGTTACTATACGGATTGCTATTTTCTATACTATTCACTAGACTAATTATCTATACTGATCACTATATGGATTACTATTCGGATCACTATTCGCTGGTTACTTTCCGAGCGAGTATTATCGAGCAAGTACTATTAGTGTGAGTGTTATTTGAACGCGTCTGACACCAGTATTGTTCAACGGCGTTATTATAGTTGTATCTGCGATTACAAAGTCTCTACTACAACGAGCACTACAAAAATGACAACGAGTATTCGTGGACATTACGAAAGTCATAAATGACGTGAAAAATATATTGGATGTTCTATGTGAAATTTGTTCATCCTATATATGGCACATGGGCCACTCTTGAGTAAAGTTTATAACTGTTTTGATGTCCTCCCTCTAATGAGTCTACTGTAGACTCTTCCACTTACTATAAAAAATAGCAGGATAGTAAGCCTTAGGAGGAACAGTGATAGACTGAACGCTGGTCAACCGACATACACGCCAAAGTTGCGTAACACTGTTCTGTTGTATTTACTGTTCAATACCCTATTTATCTGCAACCTCATGATTTGTTATTTCTTAACCAATTACTTGCTCACAATATTAAGGATATGTAGAGAAGATAAAGATTAACCCTAGACTTGAATAGGTTAATATTGTAGTGATCGGTGAGTATCATCTTGGGAGTCTATTCCTTAAGGCAGCGGTTTGTGGGAAGAAGATGGAATTTACATCTCACCGATGGAATACGAAGGAATGAAGGCGGTTCAAGAAAATGTACGTAGCATTTTGGGTCTTAGCCTCGATGCTTAAAACTGGTGGAACTAAGGAATGTAATTCGTCCACTTTTCATCGAAATAGCGATAGAGCAGCGAGCGGCTTTCAACGTTTCATGTGACGTGCAAGTTATTAGCGGTAGAGAAGGTGGAAGGATGTGGATATTGTAAGGATAAGGAGATTGACACTTGGAGGGTTCAAGATCGTGTTGACCGAGGAATCATCCACGGCGGAGTTTGTTTCACCAAGTGTCAGCCCTTGAACGCAACAAAGAAGTTTTTAGAACCATTGAAACGAAAACGATAATTGTCTGACACTCTCATCGGAACGCCTATATAAGCGAATAGTGTGTGCGAATTTCACGGCCTCAATTTTTTTTTTCTTGGCAGATGAGGTCTTAAAAGTCAGATTTCTAATTTGCAACTACTTCAACAAAGGAGAAGAAAAGCATAAATAAACAAAAGATAGCTTCTGGGATCAAGTGACAACAAACCGGACATTGATGATTTCAAATTTTGGTTGTATATTACCAAGTTAAGAGTGAAACATTCAGTTTTGGCCCACCCTTGTCGTGGGAGTGATTTTCCCTCGAGTCATTGCGATATGGTCCGTTCGCGTTGCCATAGACGCGTATTGATGTACAGAGCGGCAGTGTATTGGTAGAAAGATGAGTCTAAGTGAAGAGCTAGTCTGTTAGTCTAACGTGTCAGCAGTTATAGTGTCACCTGCCTGCCCACTAAGAGTTGGAATGGAAAGCACTGTAAGAAACGGCGCCTGAGTCCTCATTTCTCGTCGCTGTTCTCGATTTTATCTTTCATTTCCTCGTGAGACGGCAAATGGCATTTCTGGTTGTCGGTGTGCGCTGACATGAACGAGAATGGACACGCAGCGTACGGTATTCATTGGCAGGTAGGTGGAAAGCTGAATGAGGGCCCCGTTTTATGGTGATTCTCTAAGCGTAGCCGAAAGTACGGGGCACCCAGTGAGGATCGAACTCACTACTCAGTCGTAATTGTGCTAGCGAAACAAGCTTGGTAACAATTACACCACGGCGAGGTGACAAAGTGCTGCTTTTTATGCTTATACCTTATACTTAATATCGGATAAAGAGACTTGAAATTTCTACGCCACATACTGAAGAAAGAGGGCTTTGCGAATATAACATACTCAGGTGATATATTCAAAGCGAAAGAGACAAAAGGAAACAGCGATTAATCTACCTAACAGGCGTGTGTAAATGGTTGGCTGAGCGAGAATTGAAATGAAGAGCGACGAAATATAGTTGTGGAGAACCATGTTTTCTCACTTCTTGAAGGGACCCAACACATATTTTCTACTCACCAAGCGCTATTGGGTCTGGCTTTATCATTCTGGTTTTATCACAGCCGGTATTTTCGTCGGCCTGCTTCAAACATAATACTTCGATTAGATTTAGCAATTGCTCTGTTCCACCTCTTCTATGCGACCACAAATTATGAACCTCACAATGGCCTCCTCTTACCGACCGTTTCGTTTTTAGCGGGTTTATTCTTTTCACACCAAACCCCAGAAATTCACAATTTATAGGTTTTAATTTATAAAGCACGAGAGAAGCGATGCTGCCAATTTTGATATGCTAGCCAGAAGCAATAACATTCTTTACGCCATGTAAAAAAGGTTAATAGTGTCGACATAGTAACTGAAAAAAATTCGTATGTTCAGGCAGCTAATATCTACAGTACCCCAGTGGACTGAAAAAAATATTGGGTTTGAAATTCTGACAAAGGAACCGACAAAGACAACAGATATCTGGAGAAGGCCGGAGAGTGAAAAGGTTGAAATTTTATAAATATTACACCCAAGATAAAAAAAAAAATACTATGCTAATCCATTTATATAAATAAGGAATTTAATGACCTCACTGTCAAATTTATTTCGATATGCTTTTATAACCATTCTGTTTTTAATATTGCGTCATATCCCTAATTTAAGTTTCAAATTTCATAGGAAAACCTAGTATATAGGCATCATATCATACCTGTATATACATATCATGATCACGAGACCTATGCATCTATTAGGGGCGCAGTAGCAGTACATATACTTGGAGCTCTGTTTCCTTTGCTGTATAGTTTCACGGAGCACAATCCTCTCCAGGCTGGTTTTCAGAGTTTTCCCTAATTTAGACTGGTGGCCACCCAAAGTCTTGCTATTTACTTATAGCTGGGTTGAATGGGGAGAAGCGGTGGATTCATACGAGTCGCTATACATTACTCTACCGTCCATCCATAGACTTATACCTGATGTAACAGTGAAATAGTCTAAATCGAGTAACATCAAAATTGTCCAATTGCTTGATTAATAATTGAACCGTTGTATCTTAGGAATGATGGAAAAATATCATACTGGAATTCTCCGACGTTTTTTAACACTATTAGACTCTACATTGAGCAATAAGAATTAATCTCAAGACATTAACAGAAGAATCGTGATGAAATCGACTATAAACGAAAATGGCATGTTCATCATTAATT